TATATGTATTGAATCTGAGATGATGGGAGTTGCATTTCAACAAGCCCACCAACAATTTGTCATCAGATCACAGAGCAGCCGGGTTTGGAAGATTGTTCATCCGTGCAGGCACAAAGAGAAGATGTCCTGCCCCGATCTCCCAGCCTCTACACCTACCCTAAACTCAGTGGCTTTAAACACGTGTGTATAGAGAGGGATGTTTCATATCCTTGTCTTCTGGACTCTAGAAGCTGACATTGGCCCATGATCTTGAATCTTATGTTGTTTCTTTCCTCTGTCTTGTCACCGAGCCATCTGTCGTGTCTGGCCTTACTGATGACCCTGCAATTACAGCTGTGTCTATGTGGTGGTTTCAGTGAATATGAAAAATGATATAAGAAAAGATATAAAAAGAAAAGCTTATATCTTTGAATGCTTGGTCCCCAGTTGATGTAACTGTTTTGAAAGTCTGGCCTTATTGGAGGAGATATGTCACTGGAGGTGGCCTTTGAGGCTTCAAAAGCCTACAGCAGGCCCAATCTGTCTTCTCTCTCTCTCTCTCTCTCTCTCTCTCTCTCTCTCACACACACACACACACACACACACACAACACACACATACACACACACATACACACACACACACACACACACCTCCAACTTGCAGGTAAGAAGTAAGTTCTTAGCTACTGCTCCAGTACCAAGCCTTCCTGCCTGCTCCACTCTCCCCACCCCCATAATGGTCACCCTCTGAAACTATAAAGCCCCCAAATTAAATTCTTTCTTTTATGAGTTGTCTTGGTCATGGTGTCTCTTCATATCAATAGAAAAGTAACTAAGTTGAACGGCTTGTGTAATGCACTATCTCAAGATCCTTAATCACTACTGCAAAGCTCCTGTTACTTAGAGCACCCAGCTATGACAAGCTCAGTAGAGGCCCAAGGCTCAGTAATTTACCCTAAGGCAATACTGGTTCCAAGAAAGAACACAATCTGAGACCACCCAGGCATCACCAAGGAACAGATCATCCAAAAGAAACTCCTAATGATCCAACCATTGTAGATAGGATCACCTGCCAGCATGAACCCATAGCTTTTCACCAGGACACCCCTAGACAAATGCCAGGCAGTAAGGGATCCTGAACCTTAGAAATCCCTCACCCCAACCCCTGCTATTATAAAAAAAACCCAACCCAACTGAGTTCAGGGTTCTCCAATCACACCAATACGTTGGACACACAGAGAGTCCGAGTTCCAACATGAATAAGAACAAAGACTCTTTGCTTTTACATACAGGATTCAGTCTCCTAGTTGGTTTTTAGGAGACTCCGTGATCTGAGCATAATATTATCATATAAGGTAACATTCACAGGTTCCAGATTTGAGACTATGGGCACTGTTAAGAGCAAGAATGTAGTACTGGAATAAGTCTTCCAGATGGCTCCCATGCCCAGAAACATTTAACTTGGTAAGAGTTTTCTTACTTTCTGGTGTAATGATTGCCTCTGACTGGTTAGACTTTCTTTGCCCCAACCCTGGCACCAACCTCTTCTCTAAAGATCTCTGGTCCTGAAGTAATGAACAATACTTCACTCCTCTTTGAAGCTGGATATGGCAGAGCACACCTCGCTTCTGTCACTGGGAAAGGTTAGTCAGAAGAAGCACAAATCAAGGCCACCCTGGACTACTCAGGGAGCTGCAGCCTAGCCTATGCATAGTGAGACTCTGTCTCGTTTTTTAAAGGAGAATGAGATAAACAGATACAATGCTCAGAGGCTCACTGCTTCTAGAATGTTTGGGTTTCCCAGATTATGATAGTAGTGAGGGGTAGAAAACATAAATGTTTTCTATACCAACATGTTTACTTATCCATACTTAAGCTAAAAGAAAAAAAATGGGGATATGGAGACTGGGTGCTAAGGCTGTATTGATAGTCTTGTTCCATAATAGCTCATGTATATTAAATTCTTGCTGTGTGCCAGGCTAGGAGCCTTTCATGTGGTTAATAGGTCAGTGTTTCCTTTCAATATTATGAGGGATGTATTCTGTTTCTGTTTTCCAAAGCACACCAAGACCCTGACAACAAGCAACTTGCTGAAGATCGCACAGCTGTAAGTGGCGACACCAGGCCTGGTACAGGTGTTTGCGCTGCTGTGGCTCTGCTTTGGTTCCCCGTTGCTCCTAATGCAGCATTCAGTCTCTGGCTGCATTTTCTGCCACTCTTGACACCTATTAGGAAATCTCGGCTGGAGAGATGGAAATCTCACATCGAGCATCGTCTCCGCTGAAAGTGATGCTGTGGGAGAGTGTGTCAGCTGTGGCTTGATGGGCCCGTCGCTTTCTTCCTTCTCGCTCCCTGTAAAGTAGATGAGCCTCTGCTGTCTATGTCATAGACTAGCTTCCAACCTCACAATAGCACAGCTTGCTTTTACCCACAGTTTCTCTGCACTTAGGGGCAAATATATGTGGGTTAGTTAAAAACCTTCACCCCACCCCTTCACTAATCAAGGGCCAAGCCTTCTCAAGACTGATAACCACCTGGACTCATGGTCTGACATATTCCAACTGGAAGGCCTTAGGAAAGAAGCCCACGTGACTGTAACAGCTATTGGCAAGTGTGATTTGGTTGGTTCTTCTCAGAAAGGTAGCGTTATGATTGGATCTTAAATGACCCCCCCCAAAAGCCACGTGCTAAAGGCTTGCAATTCCCCCAAACTCCAAAAGGCAGTCCAAATATCCAGAAATGGGCTCAACTTGGACCATTGGAGGACTTCTGATGGCTTTTATTTAAAGCCAGCATTCCTCAGGAACTTTTGAAGCCAAAGCTGGTTGCCCTCTACATTTCTGATATCATTGGGGGAAGCTACCTGTACTGCCTATTGGCATAAAGTGTGAGCTGCCTTCTCCCTGATCTGTCCCCGTCTGTATCACAGGTACCTGTTCCAAAGTAGCTCTTCTCGCCTCTTTCCCAACCCTAGACTTCCCTCCAACTCAAGGGCTTCCCTCCACCCAGCTATACGTTCTTCTTCTAATCCTGCTATTTTTGATACACTCTCTGCCCCCCCATCCCTTCCCCTGCTCTTCTCCTGCTTCTCTTTCTCCTGGTCAGGTTCAGTTTGCTGGTCATGTTCTACTTTATCCTTTGCCCCCAACCCCCACTCCCCCACCTCCTTCACGCTCTTCCAGCTCTGGCTGTTCACACATTCATATCTCCAATAAAAGCCTTTCAAATTTTTGGAGAAACAGGCCTATACTGCTATACGCAGAACTTGACAGGCAGTTCTGGCAAGAGCTCAAAGACCAGAGTACCGAGAAGTATGTAAACTGACGATATGACCACTTGATGGAACTGTTAAGAGGAAGGTTTCTTGTAGATGGGAGGGAGAGAATAGCCAGAGCAGAGAGAGAATGACCAGTGGGCTGGACCTGACCATGAGAGAAGCAGGAACATAGAGACAGAGGGAACGAGGTGGGGTCGGGGAGAGACAGAGAAAGAGGGGAGGGAGACAGAGAGAACAAATAGACAAAATAGCAGGGCTACAAGAAGAATGAATACTTGGGGGAGGGGAAGCCAGTGAGCTAGGGGTATTCGATGTAGGGCAAGAGGTGAGAAGAGCTAGGATGCTAGCGTGTACTTTGAAATGTGCAGTAGACCCCTGGGATACTGAGGGAGCCTGAAGGCCAGCATGCACTTTGGTACATTAATAGACCCCACAGATAGGCATTTGTCTCTTCTGCCTTTGGGGAAGTGGAGTTTCTTTCCTCTGAACCTGACAATAAGGTTGTGAAGCATAGGACATATGTGGAATGTTAGGGCAGGCTCGTGCCGATTCAGAGAGAGATGACGATTCTATTGAAAGCTAACAAGAGACTCTTTGTGCTGTATTCTGGCAAACTCTTGTCCGTGGTTGGTCCATGCCCTGAGATTTTCCATGAAACTAAATTAAAGGTAAGGATAACCTGGCAGGAGACATTGCTGGACAGTACAGCATTCAGGCTAAGCATTGCTGGCTGCTTTTCACCAGATTTAACATGAGATGTGGGAATAAAGAGCAGAGTAGAAGGATTTGAAAAACTTGCCATTTGAGGAGTATCTCTATGATCACTTCTTAGGAAGACATTATTGCCAAGAATAGTTATGTCATGGATGCAATGAGGCTTGTCTTTAATCATAGCACTCAAGAGGCTGAGGCAGGTAGATCTCTAAGAGTTTGAGGCCTTGTCTACATAGATCCTGTCTCAACTACAGCCCCCCAAACACACACATACACATCAAAGGAAGAGAGGACATAATCGGGTACCTCACATCAGCATAGTTGAACAGATCCCTGGAGGGCATCTCAAGAGCCAACAAGTTCCTATCCATAACAGATTTAAGACTTGATTGACAAGAGGACCTAGAGGATTCTGGGAGCTCAGAAATACCCAGGTAATTGCTTTCCCTGAGCTCCTTTCCCTGTATTAAGCCATCCAGACATTCAGAAACTTCTGCATCTGTGGGTTCAAGTGGGCCCAACTACTGCTCATGCTAGTGACAGATTTTATCATTGGCCATGCCTTGCTGTTCTTTCAGGCACAGAGAACAGATGAACGATGGTGTCACAAAGGCTTCCACTTAAATCCCAAAGGAAGCCCTGGAAGATCAGGCAGTGTGTGACAGAATCCCTGCAGGCAGCTCCTGCGTGGACAGAATCTGAAGATGTGTAGTGAACTCAGAGCCCCAAGGGAGGGCCCAGAAAGTTAGAGATGCCAGAAATGTGCACAGCAGAGCTAGCCCCAGAGAGAGGCTGTGTAGCCTGCTGCCAGCCAGGTATGCAAAGAGTCTGCCCAGCACTTACAGCCATATAATGCTACTCTGCTCGTAGACATGGAGTGACACGATTTAATGTTTGTCCTTCTGGGCTTTGATCTTGCTGAAGTCATATTTCTCCTTTGTCTGTTTTATCCTTTAGGAGTAGAAATGTTTTTCCAGGCAACTACTTCTACCTTTTCCCCTCATTCCTTCTTCCTCCTCCTCTTGCTCTTTTTGTAGTATTGAGAATTAAACCCAGGGCCCTGTGTATGCTACACAAGTACTCTTCCAGGGAATTATACCTCTAACCCTCTAAGAATGCTTCATTTTGAAACAGGGTCTAGCTAAGATGCCAAGGGACTTAGTCTGCCACCCAGAAGGCCTTGAACTTTCAATCCTTTTGCCCTAGACTCCTAAGTAACTGGAATTTTAGGTCCTTATCTTCACCCTTCACCTCCGTTGTTTCTTAGAAATACGTATTACTGACTTGCTAACTTGCTCTTTAAATTTTTTGAGACAGGGTCCCATTATGTTGTTCAACCTAGCTTCAAATTCTTTTCCTTTTTAATAGGATATTATTTATTTATTCCTTAGATATCTCACATATCTAATCAATACATTTTGATTACATCCAACCCAGATTCATCCTCCCACTCCTCCAATGGGCCTCCGAGGCAGTTGTTTTCTCTTTTCTCTCTTCTCACTATTTAATTAATACACTGAGACTAATGAGTGCTGCCTGTTTGAGTGGTGGCTGATTGTCCTACTTTGCTCTTGTATAGGTAGCTAGAGCTGCAATGAGTTTATGCCATGTCATATAACAAAGAGAGCATTCCACAGCACCCTTTCCCACCCTCTAGCTCTCATACTCTTTCCATCCCTCCTCTATGATATTCCTTGAACCCTGGGGTGGGGACTGATACAGATGTCCCATTTAGGGCTGAACACTCAATAATACTTAATCTCAGAAGTTGGACCAGTTAGGAGTCTATATTAACTGCTATCCACTGCAGCGAGAAGCTTCTCTACTACATCTAATTCTTGATCCTCTTGCCTCAGCCTCATGAAGGCCAGGACTGCAGACATGTGCCACTTTGACCCACTTCTGTTGATTTCCACAGAGGCTCACATCTTTGAGTTTTACTGACTCTCACAGGAGACTCGGGACTTTGACTTTTGAATAGTTCTGGGACTATTAAAGACTTCAGTGCCAGGCACAGTTATACATGCTTGTAGTCCCATCACTCAGAGGACTGAGGCAGGATGACAAGTTCAAGGCCAGCTTGGGATATACTACAAAAGCCTGTCTCAAAACCAGAACCTAAATCAACAGCAAAAGACTTCAGGGACTCTTGAAGATATACTGAATATATATCATACACTGAATATATATCATATACTGAATATATATCATATACTGAATATATGTTTTATGCTGGGGTAAGTACTCACCTTTGGGAGCCAGGGGCAGAGTTTTGTGATTCAGATCTTAAGCATCTGCTGAACAGTCTTATGCTAAAGGCTTATTTGTGGGGCTGTGGCAATATTGGGAAATGGTAGAGTCTGCAAGAGGTGGAGCCTAGTGGAAGGATACTGTAGGAATTCCTGCAGCCAGTAGCCTCTAAGTTACCCACCCACTTGGGTGTGGCCTCATATACTATATAGGCTGCTGTAAAACGTGCATCTGGCCTCTCTTTTCCGGCTCCTGGATTCAGTCGCTGTTCCCTGTTCAAGCAGAGGATTTGATCTGTGAGTCTTCCTCTAAATAAGTAACCTTTTATTATACTCGATTCTAAGCTAGTGTGGGATTTCATTTTTAGTGTCCCTCTTCAGAAGGCAGTTAGGTCACACCCTTAGGAAGGAGTCTCTCCTCTCTCTCTCTCTCTCTCTCTCTCTCTCTCTCTCTCTCTCTCTCTCTCTCTCTCTTCTCTCTCTTCTCCCTTGTATGTGGGGTGGAAGTGTGTGTTTCTCTCTTCCTTTTTTCTCCTTCCTTCCTTTCTTCCTTCTTTCCTTCCTTTCTTCCCCCTCTTCCTGAAGTGAGCTACTCTTACCCATTGTGCACCTTCTTTTACAATGTTTGACCTTATTATAGGCCCAGCGTGATGGGACCAAATGGTCATAGAACAAAAAAGAAAAAAAAAAAACCCTTTCCTTCTTTAGTTGATGATCTCAAATAATAGGTCACCGTAATGGAAAACTACCACAAGTGTGATCCAAAAATACCTCATGTTTGTTAGAATGGATCCATTTTTTTAAAGATTTTTTTATTTATTATGTATAGTGTTCTGACTACATGTATCCCTGCATGCCAGATGAGGGTACCAGATCTCACTATAGATGGTTGTGAGCTTCCATGTGGTTGCTGGGAATTGAACTCAGGACCCCTGGAAGAGCAGACAGTGTTCTTAACCTCTGAGCCAACTCTCGAGCTCGAATGGGTCAATTTAAAAAGTTAAATCACATTTGTAACATAGAGTATCTGATTTGATGTTTCCTAGGTCCCCGGCATGGAAACTGCCTACCTGAAGAAGAGCTTTGGAAACAGCCTGACCCAGGCACTGGCAGAGGTGGCAAGAGTGCGGCCCAGTGACCCAATAGAGTACTTGGCTTATTGGCTTTACCACTATAGGGATGTGACTAACGCTAAAGAAAAGGTGTGTTTGTGAACTGGGCCTGCTTGGGGAGGGGATGGCTTGCTCAGAACAGCTTGAAATCTAAGGCAGAGTCCTGAGCTGGCCTAGAGTTCTTGATTCATCCACTTTGTGAGGATTCCTTAGTCCCAGCTACTTCTGATGTATGAGGACTCTGAGGGTTAAGGAGGGAATCTAGCTCAAACGATGGTAGAGTTGGGTTTGGAGTTACTGGCTAATCAATCCTTCTAATGAGAAGTTCACTGAGCCTGGTAGCAATCCAGGCCAATCACAGGTGAGGGAGGGTTCCTGTGTAAGGGATATGGCCTGATTTGTCTCTGTCATATTACCCCAGGAAAGGCAAGAAGAGCTACAGCTAAAAGAGGAGCATGACAGAAGCCTCCAGGAAGTGAAAATGACCAAAATGCAGAAACAAGAGGAATATCAGACTCAACAGAAGTGTGAAAAGTGTCACCAGGTAGGAGGGAAAAATGAGGCAGAGGCTCCAGGAATCCTGAAGGCACCTAGCACTGGACAAAGCACACCAAGGCCACCCTTGGCCTGCTTCTCCCTCACTGTTGCACGTTAGGCATAAGCCAGTCTCACTGACAGCTTGTCCATACTTGACAATAGAAAAATGAAGTGTAAAACAAACAGGTCTATTTTAGATTTCAAAAAAATGTCATTAATATGACTGGCTTTCAAAACTTAATATTTTATTTTTTTTATTTTTTATTTCAAATTTCTTGGAGCCCTTTTATATTATTCCATATTTTCAGAAACCAAATATAACTCTCAATGCATATATTAGATATAGTATCTACTTAGCATTTTACCTTTAGATTAGGATTATTTCTGTGTCAAGCATCAAGTGTGCCCTCTATGATAGAATACAAACCTCAGTTATCAACTCCAAACAGTTGAAAGCAACTCTGTCTTTCTTGGTTTTGCAAGCAGAACTTCAGTCTCAACAAACTCCTAAAGATTGCACCAGTTTACATCTGGCTAGAGAACTCTCTCACCCAGAATTGACACTAGATGTCTTCTTAATCATCAATATGTCCTTAATGTCCTTAGTGAAGTCCTCTTCATGTTCCAGCTTTGCTGTCCCAAATCCAACCTGGAAGACACTGAGCTTGTTTACATTTGATGCTAAGATATTCAACAATCTAATGTACTCTCGTAACCAGTAGGCTTGTTTATAAGTCTGACTGTCTTGTCAATAAATTGAAAAGAAGGCACACCAGATTTAGAAGCCTAAGATGCACGCTAAATTCAAGGCCAGCCTTGGCAAATAAAAATCCTAAAGAAGAGCTGAAACTATATCACTCAGTGTAAATGGAAACTGCATGTTCTTTTTCCAGCCTCCCAGCCCAGAATAATCAAACAAAACTATATTAATTACAACACTGTTTGGCCAATAGCTTATACATATTCCTAGCTAGCTCTTGCATCTTAAATTAACCCATTTCTATTAATCTGTGTATCACCACGAAGCTGTGAGCGTTTTTCTCCTTAGGCAGCTACATGGTGTCTTCTTGCCTCTGCCTTCTCTCTCTCTCTCTCTCTCTCTCTCTCTCTCTCTCTCTCTCTCTCTCTCTCTTTGTCTCTCTCT